GCTGGTTTATGGGCTCCGTGGCCGATGGCGCGGGGGGGGGGGGGGGGGGGGGGGGGGGGGGGGGGGGCGCGGGGACCCCAGCGCGGGCGCCGTCCCGGTTGGCTGCCAGCCCCGCCCCCGCGCCTCGAGCCGCTCGCTAGAGTGCGGGGGGTGGCCAGCGGGTCGCAGGGGACGGGCAGGAAGCCGACCCGAGCCGGCCGGCACACGGCCCCCGGGCGAGACCAAGCGTCTCCTGCCCACTCCCCGGCCCATCTACGCGGATGCCATCGTTCGAGCGCCTGCACACGAGTGAGCCGCGGCCGCTTGCATCCGCCGCTCCGAGAGTGTGACCCCAGGCATGCCTCATGGTTCTCGGTGGATCGCACCGAAGCACCCACACACACACACACACACACGCATGAATCTCCTGTTCTTGTGGCTGGCGCCCGCACCAGGACGCCGCGCAGCGCCCAGGAACATCGCATCACAGGGCCGAGCAGCGAGGCGAGCGGGTGTAGGTGTGTGCGCGTGTGCAAGCGGCGGCCCCCCCTCCCCCCCTCCCCCTTCCCGATGAACGGACGCCCCAGCGCATGCCCCGCCCTGCGTCCCCTCCCCACCATCGCACAGGGAATCACAACGCGAGCTAAATGGGCCAGTAACCCCGGCCCGGAAGCTAAACCCCGGATCTTGGGAAATGGTGTTTTTTATTTCTGCAGGTCGCGTGATAATGTGATCACGCATGGCGATGGGCGATCGACGCCCAGATCGCCCGGCGGGCGGGGGAGGGGGGGGGGGGGGGCAAGGACAGTGTAGGGTAGCGCAGATGCACGCGACAAAAGGACCAGGGAAGGGGGAAGGGAGAGCGCGCAGGTACACACGGGCTGCGACAAGGCGCGAGGAAGGAAGGTGGGGGACAAAGGAGGCCCCCCAGGGGAACGGAGGCCGAGCGAGGGCACAGCACACGAGAGCAAGACGGAGAAGGGCGGGGGGGGGGATGCGGGCGCAAAAAGAGGGCAATCCAAGAGGGGAGAGGGGGGGGGGGGGGGCGAG